AGGCAGCTGATCAATGTTTCTCTCTCATCGATATTTCTAACTCTCTATCTCTCTCCCTTCCTCTCTGTAAAAAATCAATAAAATATATTTTTAAAAAATTTTTAAAAATTAAATTAAATTAAAAAAAGAATCTCTAAATTATGTGTTACTTTTGACTTTAATCCTTCTAAAAATCTATAGTTGGAGAAATGTGAAAAAGATTTGTAGACAAACCTCTCACTGAGGTAGTATTGATGACAGCAAGCAAAAAAAAAAAAAAAAATGAAAGCAACTTAAATGGCCAACACCAGAGAATGGTTAACAGCACATCATACAACAGAATACTATGCAAACAGTACAGAGTATATACTACAAAATTTTTATGATGACATCACAAATGCTTATAATCTAATTTTAGTGGGGCATGAATACGAGCAACTGTAAGGATTTATACATAATAAGAAATAGCTAAATGGTAGTATTAAGGATGTCTGTTTACTTCAAATATGTTTTGCTTTTGTAATCGCTAAGGAGGAAAGGATGTTGTTGGATTTTTTTTTTGGATTTTTTTAACAAAATAACAAGTACTGACATTGTATGTTGTTATTTACTATTAATTGCATTTTTATTTGTTACCACTTACAATATCCAATTTCCTGTCCATTGTTTAACATTACACATCACTTAGGGAATCTTTCCATTTTTTCATTAGTTTATATTAGACCTGGAAACCACTGGTTGTTATTAATAAACTAGAGGCTCGATGCATGAAATTCATGCAAGAGTAGGCCTTCCTTCCCCAGCTGCCGGCATGAGCTTCCCTCTGGCACCCAGGGACCTGGGCTTCCCTCCCAGCCACAGTCTAATTAGCATATTACACTTTTATTATTATAGATATTAGGACCCTACAACTCCCCAGGTGTCAAGAGTTTAGTCTTCCTTTCCCCAATTCCAGGAAGGCAGGGATTATAATAAACTTGGAAGCAACAGCAAAGATTTGGGAAAGCAAGAAGTATACTCCAAGCTAGTATTAAAAAACAAAATTTAACTGAATAAACTTTAAAGTCCTCATTGGCTTTACTCAATGATTCATGAATTTGGCAGCATCTAATCTAGTAGACAGAAAGGAGCTTCAAGGAGCTGTACAAAAATGAAAGACTTATAGGGAGAGTAGAAACAATAAATTACACCAGGCAGAAAAGCAGGTTGGTTATAGCAAGGTGGCTTCCCTTAGGGGATAGTAAGAGGTCTATCAGGCACATTACCAAACTAAGGCCTGACTCACTGAGGTAAGAGTTCACTTCTAGGAGAGCCAAAACTATAATTAAGACTTGATTTGGTGACTTAGGTCTTAGCATAAGTGACTCCATTTTGAGCCTGTTGTCTTGTTTTGAACAGTAGGATGTGTGTGAGTATATACCCTCAAAGAATATGATGGAGGTGGGAGTGGGAGAAGCAGGATCAGGTGGTATGGAAGAACCCATTACTCAGTCAACAAACCACTTATTCATACAACAAATAGTTACTGCCCTTCATTTTCTCTAACTTCTGGGCACAGAATTAGCCAGATCTCAAGGAGTTCCTTGTAGTACCAGAGAAAATTCTAGTTCCATGTGGTAAATGTAGGATAGGATGGCAGGAACCCTGAAGAAAAGCCAGAATAGATGGCGGCAGAGTAGGAGGATGCTGCATGGTCATGCTCCCAGGAACAAGCTGAAATTACAACTGAAATACGAGAAGGATTCCTGAATAATCAAAGGAAAACTCACAGGAGAGAACCCTGATACCCAAGGACCGAAGGTGAAGCCCGCATAGAGACTGGTAGGAGGGGCAGAGACGTGACCCACAGAGGGGAACTGAAGTCCCAGAGAGATATCTCAGCCGGTGGTGGAGGAGGGGGAGGTGCCACTGAGAATTCTGGGATCTAATCCTGGAGCTGGGCTCCCCAGCAGAGAGCACCAAACTGAGGAAGGTATCCACATAACATCAAGCTGTGAAAAGCGGTGGGGTGCTGTCTGCCAGGGAGTGGCAGCTGAAAGTTCAGGCACCCTCTTAAAGGGCCAAGGCACAAACATTCCCTGTGGAGCCACCCACCTTGTGCTCTGGCAGAGGGAGGGTGAAGTGGACTGGAGCTGTGAGAAAAGAAGCCAGCACTGGGGACTCGGGGGACAGAGCTCAGAAGGCAGACACCCCAAGTCTCCTCGGCTCAGTCATTCCCTCACACAGCCACATAGACATCTGCCTTGCCTGGGGGGATAGATATCTGCCTTGCTTGGGGGGAAGACAGTTGACACACCCTATTGGAAAACACCTTGCCCTGAGGCCAATTAAGAGGTTAAAAGTAACAATTGGAAGGAGTAGCAGCTGCTTGTGTAGCCCGCCCCCATCCAAGGAACAGCAGCCTCCTGATCACCACACCCTCTGTCTGAGAAACAGCAGCTGTGTGTGAAGCCTCCCCCCACCAGCCAGAGGAGCCACCACAGCTGTGAACAGCACCCACCAGAGGCTCTGCTATCAACAGAGGAGCCGCTGCTACCACAACCGCCCAAGGAGCAACCACAGCCCGAGGAGCCACTGCCACCCAGGGAGCAGCCACTGCCACCCAGGGTCCAGCCACTGAACGACTCAACAACTAGTCATGTCAGTGAGATCAAACATGGGTAGACAAAGAAACCCCCAAAGGAAAGAAAAGGAGGACTCGCCAGAAAAGCAGCTAAGTGAGACAGAGATATGCAACATGACGGAAAAAGAATTCAGAATAAGGTTCCTAGAGTACATGCACCGGATGTTCAAGAAGCAAGAAGAAACAGATGAAAAACTCAACTACTTATGCAAGAAGCTAGAAGAAACAGATGAAAAAATCAACAACTTAAGTAAGTCCCAAGAAGAAATGAAGAGCGACATAGCTGCAATAAAAAACACCATTGAAAGTATCAACAGTAGACTGGGAGAAGCGGAGGACCGAATTAGTGAATTAGAAGACAAGGAAGCAAAACACACTCAAACTGTACGGCAAATGGAGAAAAAAATTAAAAGACAGGAGGAGAGCCTAAGGGAGCTTTGGGA